TTTATTGAGCACCTGATGCATGCCAGTAATGTGGGCAGGGAAGAAGCAGAAACAAATAGCACACATCCCTCCCCTCAGGCTGTCACAGCCATGAAACATGTGAATATGATGAAGGGGGACAAGGTGTCTCACACAGGGAGACGCCAGGTAGGAAGGGCCCCAGGTGGGGCATTGAATCTGGTTCTGGACTCTCCTGCAAAGAATAACAGCATTGAAAGTGACAGAAGAGTGGAAGGTGGGAGGGTCTCGTCACCCTCTTGATTGAGGTCTTTCCCTGTCATCTTGTTCTGAGAATAAAATTCAAACCCCCAACATAAACTGAGAAAGTCTAGCATGATCCTATACTATGCAGTGCCCACAAGCAAAGTGTGGCTACCAAGTCCTTGAACTGTGGTTGGTATACTTGGGGAACTGAATTGTTTTGTTCCATACAACTGTGACTGATTTAAGCAGCCGCCACAGGGAGAATGCTCTCCTCCTCACAGAAAGCACAATCTGCCCTTCTCATGCCTAGCACCTCCCTGTCACTCAACTGTGGGATCAAGAATATGCCAAGCTCATGACCTTTTAACTCACCGCTCTGCCCACACTAGCTAATATTGCCCCTCTCTGTATTCTCCGTCAGCCCCTCACCAGTCTCCTCCACAGCACTTACAGTCATTTGCCATCATTTGTAGCTCATGTACAAGTTTACCCTTTGTCTACCCCTTTATAACGTAAGCCCTGCAAGGCAGGATGTGGTCTTTATTATGGTATCCCAGGCCCTGGCAGTGTTTATCTCAGCACACAGGCTGGTGAGGCTGGTGAGCATGCTCTTTGGAGAGGGATGGGCATCCGTTCAATGGCACAGGAGCAGGCATCAACACGGAGTGACTTATTAAGGACTAATTGGAAAACAGAATGACAAGGGAGCACACTATTGATAGGGAGAAGCTATTTAGAGATTGCGAAGTGGCAGCATGGGTTCATCAGGGCAGATTATAAGAGGTCTGAGTTAGGCACTGTTGAGGACCCCACTGTCTGATCAAAGGTTCTCAGCTAGAAAAGGCTCAACCACAGAGAGCAGCCCCCATGGCCACAGTAGGAAGTTCAGGGTGCCTGAGACAGTGGGCAGCTGCAGAGTTAGGCTGAGTAAGGGGGGGCCACTGTGACAAGCATAGTGTCCAGAAATGAAGGTTACCTCTGCTTCCAGCTCTCTGGGGCGGGGGGGTCTGTATCACTTTGGGGTGCAGACATCAGTTTGGAGTACACCGGGGGATTGAAAACTGAGCAAGGGGAAGCTGCAGCCCCATTACTCTTAGAGGCAGCACAAGCTCCAGAGGCCTCTCAGCCTTTAAGCACCCATCTTCAACCTGCCGCAGCCCTCTCCCCATCTCTAGAAGGTAAACCCATAAGGCAAGCCTTTGTCTCCTTGACCACGGTGTCCTTATTTTCTAGGGCCTGTCACACAGTGAGTGCTCAGTAAACACTTACTGAATAAATTAATCCATCTTCCATATAATGAAGCCACAGGATGTTTTATTCGCAGGCAGAGTTGAGCGTTAAATCTGGGTCACACTTAATGCTGAAGGCGCAGCAAGAGAATTAGAAACCCACTCTTATTCATTCATTCCAATGCCTTGGAGGAGGAAAATTTACTCATCTTGTTTCAGAATCAAGTCATAATTAATGTCTTTCAGGAAGGTTTCCCCACACAACACGCTTATCCTCCAAACTCAAGTCACCTGTGTGCATTAGAATTGTTTTCACTGCCTAAATATAAGTTCTGGCAGTTACCTGAAAGGATGCGATTTCAGTGCTCTGCTCATGTGACAGTGCCTCCTTGACATTTATTCTTTTTTCTAGCAATCACATTTTTGGTTTGTGTCTGAGACATGCCACAAGTGAAGTGAGACTCAGGCAGGTCCAGGGAGGGGGGTGGCTTTGGCTGTCAAAGCCACACACTTGAGTCCCAAACTAATTCTTCCAGCTGAACACACCTCCCTCACCTGTCCCCAAGCCTGAGCCTTGACTGCCCCTACCTCTCCCTCTCCCTCTCCTTCTCCCAGGGCAGAAGTGGGACCTGGGCTCAAATCTAGGCTTCTTCACTCCTGATGGAACCTTTTTTTGGTGTTTCCTCTTTGCACACCCACACCTCAGAGGCGGTTGTGAGAGAACCAGATAAAATACCGCACACAGGGTAGACCTGGTGGTGCACAGCAGTGGCTCGGCCGGTGAGTATTGATCACCAGCACCCTCTGACCACTCACAGGGGCCCCTTCACTTTGCTGCTGGGGAAAGGGAAACACTTTCCAAGCAGGGAACCGACCCAAGGTCCTCTCACTCTACAAATGCCACCAGAATTATGGAGGGGCGGGGCTGGTGTGGATATGAGGGATGTCAAATCTGACCCTTCCTCTTACAGATTTGGTGCCAGAGACTATCAAGGGGACCTCGTGAAGTGAGTCAGTGACTGGAGCTGGAGCCCAGCTGGCCTGACTTCCACGTCATGTGCTGGGCGTGGATGCTGCTAAGAAATTAGTCCCTGGAAGGGTTTTGCACCCACTGCTTGTCACAAGAAACCATGAGGAAGCAGCCTGGCACTGCCATTGAGGGCCCAGGGCCATGGGCCCCAGCTCCCTGTGCTTGGCCGTGTCTCCGCCAGTTACCAGCGGGGGGGATCTCACAAAGGCCCTGTTTCCTCAACTGGAAAAGGAAGACGATGCTGGCACCCACCACACAGGGTTCAAAGATGTGCAGGGAACAAAGGGCTCAACACCAGGTCTAATTCACAGGCATGGTGCCTGTAGTAATCAACAAATGTTGGCTGGTATTGCCAATACAGCACTAACAATCTCAGTACCAAAATAACAGTGCTAACCAGAAACCTGAACTTTACACCTGGACACTGCTTTAAAGAGAATCAGTTTTGGCTTCCATGGAGCTGCTTTTTGTAGGAATATGGGCTACTTCAATCACCTCCTTCAGGGCCCTTCCATATCCTAGAAGGTAGCAAAATTATCATTATTTAAAGACTTAATTAAGGCTTAGTATGGCGGGCAGATTAGGTTCCAGATAGGCCAAATGTGTGATACAATGGAGTTGCATTTTTATATGCTATCATGTATACTTTATAGTACACCTGGGCCCTTCTATAACTGAACTTTAATGCCCATTTTATGGAACTTTTATAAGGGAGGCTGTGTAATGCAGTGGAGCAAGCACTGGAGCAGGAGTCGCCAGGCCTGTTCAGAAGAGAGGCTCTGCCACATGGCGACTGGGACCCATGGCAGCCACTGCCTCTCCTCCTCTGGGACGTGTGGAGCGGGGCTGGGTGACGTCCAAGGCTCTGTCCACGCCTGGCAGTTTGTGCTGAAAGCAGACTGACAATATTGAGCATGATAAAGTTACAGGCGTTCAGATTTTGCCTCTAATTATGTTTTTGGTCACTTCTCTAGTATATTTGTCACTGTTTTTAGGAATACAGTCCTCAATCATAAAACTTTCTAGTGGAAACTGTGGTTTCCACTACAGTTGCTCTGAAGGTGGCTCTCAGGAACGCCTTTTGGGGAAAACCTGGGCTCCCCGTGTGTAACATCCACATCTCCAGAATTGAGTGAGTGACCTTCATAGAACTGCTGAGATGGCCACTTGATTTGTTTGTTCCTTTATTTGCCATACTGGGGATTTAACCCAGGGCCTCATGCATGCTAGACAAGAACGCTATTGCTAAGCTACATCCCTGTCCCTTTTCAAAATGCTATTTTGAAACAGAATCTCAGGAAATTGCACAGGCTGGGCTTGAACTTGCCATTCTCCTGCCTCAGCCTCCTGAGTAGCTGGGATAACCTCACCTGGCTCGGTCTTCTCGATCCATTCCCTGTACAGAATTCCCAGCAAGCACAGATTTCTGAGTGTCCCTTCCGCCGCAGATTACAAAGGCAAACGAAAAGCGGTCAGTGTGAGCTGGGAGCAGCTACTACAAACAACAGCAAGAGTAACATCGGTGACAACATCACACAGCTGTTGGAGACCCAAACACTAAGCTGAGCAGACTACACTGCTGCACAGCTCAGTACGATGTCGGAATGAGAACCCCGAGTCATCAACAAGTGGGTAAAAATGTTCAGAATTGCTTGCTTCAAGGGGCAGTGCAGGGAGTGAAGCCTTTCAGAGAAATTCCCGCCAAAGGACTTTGAGAAATGCTCAGCTGCCACCAAAGTCACCCGTGTGGGCTCCCTCCGTGTCTGGGGAGGACGCACCTGAAGGAGCGTCGCCGTGCACATCCTGGGATAGCAAGTCCTCAAGAGGCAGTTTTAGGGATGAGGCGGCTTCAGTTCTTCGGTAAGAATCTCGGTAGAATGCAAGTTCGGCTTGATTTATCTTAAATTAGCTGGCACTCACCCACCCATTCAAAAATATTGTATTTATTATTTATATATTATATCATATTATACGGCAGGCACTGTCTTCGGGGCTATCTATGAAGTTTCACAGAGGATGCACTATTCAGGTGGCATTTGGGGCCATCTGCAAAAGTGACAGATGTGTTACTTTGTGGTCTTGCATTCAAATCTGACCCTTGGTGAGGCTTTTTACCCAGGACTCGCGCCTCTAAGCCCGAAGCTGCTCTAGAGCAGAATGAGCGCTCTCCGCACGCGTGTGCAGCCCCACCAGCCAGGAGCTGCGCTTCTTCGTCAGCCTGGGCGCCCCCGCGGCCAGCGCTGGCCTCTGCCGCGACCTCCGTCCCGAGGGAGACGGGCACCTGCTCAGCGGGGGCTGGGGTGGGGGTCAAGAAAGCCTCGTTTTTCCTAGAGAGCAGCGTCCTGGCTCCTGAGCCGAGCGCATACTTGCCCAGTGAGCCAGCAGGAACAGGGCAGAGGGGCGTCTCCCCGGGCTCAGGCCGTGGGCAGAGAACGAGGACGGGGCGGCAGGAGCGCGAGTCCCCCCGCGGGGCGGCAGCCCTCCCCCTCGAGCGCTCGCTGCGCAGCGGCAGCGCCCCGAGCTGGGCGTCAGAGCCCGCGGAGCAGCCCGCCGAGTGGGTGGTGCGGCAGGGGTGGTATATCCTGTCTGGCCGAGGGCGGGCCGCCAGTGCCTGGAGAGGGCAGAGCGGGCGGAGGCGCGGGAGCAGCTGCAGGGAGTCCTCACGCGGATCGGAGCCACACTCTATGGCCACAGGGAGCCGCTGAGCGCGAGAAGACCACGCCGCCGCCGCCGCCGCCGCCGCCGCTCCGCACCGCCCGCGCCTCTCCGCTGCAGCCACCATGAACCACTCGCCGCTCAAGACCGCCCTGGCGTACGAATGCTTCCAGGACCAGGACAACTCCACCCTGGCCTTGCCGTCCGACCAAAAGATGAAGACAGGCACGTCGGGCAGGCAGCGCGTGCAGGAGCAGGTGATGATGACCGTCAAGCGGCAGAAGTCCAAGTCTTCCCAGTCGTCCACGCTGAGCCACTCCAACCGAGGTGAGGCTCGGGCCGCGCGCCTTGCCTGGCGCATCTCGCATCTCAGTCAGGCAGCGGGCGGCGGGGATGGGGGCGGCCGGCCCCACGCAGGGTCCTCTCCAGGTGGAAGCTGCTCCATCGGGGTGGGTTGCGACAGATCGGAGCCGTGGCCTGCGACCGTCTAGCCGGCTCCATGAACTGAAGGCGGGCCCCTGGGCAAGGGTGGGTAACTCGCAGGGGGACGCAGCCGGGAGCGTCTCTCCAGCACCTCCTGGAGCTGTCCTCCGTGCCCACAGTCCTGCGGGGGAGGGCTTTCTTCCCCTGACCCTGCTCCGGGGACCACCCAAATTCCGTCTGGCCCTGTCCTGTGGCAGAGGCCCCAGCACTAGCCAAGGATTATGTGCCACCACCCCTGTCCATCCTTCCAGGGCTTTGCAATCCCCTGCGCCTTCAGCGGGCAGTTGGAGCCCGGTGCTCAGGCTGAGCGGGACCCCAGTCCTGGTGGGCGCAGTATGCGATTCTGGGCCAGGATGGCCGAGCGGACTGCTGAGACCTCAGTTTGAGGACTCAGTGCTGGACGGGCAGCGCGGCAGGGAGCGGGAACAAGTCCCCGGAGTGCCACAGCACTTCAGCGGGAACTGCACACCCAGAAGAGGCAAATGTGGTTGAAAGTCCATCCCAGGGCCAGTGCACCTTTGATGGCAGGGCAGGCTGCCGGGGTGCCCCGTGTCCCCAACAGCTAATGCGGAAACGCTGTTCCAGCTTCCCACAAGTGTCCCATGGGAAGAGTGGGGACTGAAACTGGCAAGGTTGGGAAACCCCCTTCTCCAGGGAAGACCCCAGCTGATCCCACCCGGACACTTTTCAAATCCGGATTATGGATCTGACCTCCTGCATCAGTTTCTATAAGTGACAGAGTCCCTAACAGGGGAAAGCTAGAAGAAACAGGAAGATCTGCTATGTGGTGGATCCATTTGGAGGGTTTTTAAAACAAATACTTTAATACAGAGAAGTCCCAGTAAGAAATATGTGCATTAACCAACCTTCAGTGTGTTTGTTTATAATTATATTTAGCTACGTTTGGTAAAATGTTAACAAGACTGCACACTACAAACCAGTCCAAGTCACCTAGGACTTATCTAATAAGCCAGGCCCTAAAGAGTGTGAGAGGCAAAAGGATCGAGGAGGAAGGAGACGAAGGAGATAGATCTCTGCCCATTCCCCCTCCGGGGCACACACACACACCACCTCTGGCTTCTGTTCCCCTCCTTCCCAGAGCTCTGTGTAGAGAAAATGGCAGGCAGAGGACTTCCCCACCTGCCACACCTAAAGGCCTTCACTGCTCCCAGTGCCCTTTGCCCTTGTCCCTTTTCCTGCCAGTTCATTTGCTTCATGTCAGTTCTGTTTAGTGCCCTGGCAGCTGCTTACCTGCCTCTTTTGAAAATAAGCTCAAAATAAAAACCATTTCTGGCCACAGCCCAGGGCACAGCTCAAGCCCTCCTATTCATCTCTGCGGAGACTTCTCTGCCCCATTCCCACCTGCCCTCCACCCAGCCTCAACTTCTGGCTCGCAGCTCCAGGAAAGTCTCATACCAGCTCCAGGCACCCCAAACACCCCTTCTTCTCCCAGCCTATCAGAATATTGTGTGAGCGACTGTCGTCATGGAATGTTTTTTCTGGCCTTGGTCTTTGTGGGTTATATCTGTTTGATGGGGTCTGGGTCTCAGGCTCTCCCCTGGGGTTTCAGTCAGGCGAAGGTTGACCCTGACAAATGCACGCTTGCCCAGAAACTCTGGGCACAGACCCTGTAGGTGTGTCTCCTCTACCCTCAGCCTCTGGGGAGGTTCCCAAAGGGGCCAGTTTCCCCAGCGGCATCCTAGCTGGAAAAGGCAGTCCAGTCACTTGAAGCTGGTGTTTCTGGTTTATCTTGCTTTGTTTTCATCAGATTTCTCTGTCTTCTCCATCAGAAACACCCAAGTGTTCCCTGTTTGCTCCTGTGCAGGACAGTGAGAAATCAGCTACCCACAGTCCTAGTAATTGAGCAGGTTTTTCCTCAGACCCCTGGGTTCTCTTCTGTCCTGTTATGGGAGGAAGTGAGCCACTGAGGGCTGGAGAAGGATCCCTGTGGAAGGAATCTGGCACCCGTCTGCACACATAGCTCCCTGGTACCTGGCAGACTGGACAGACAGCTCCCCTGGTTACCCAGGCCCTGGGGAGACAGGGACTCTCAGAGGCTGAAGACCTGCCGAAAGAGGTCACTTGGAAACTGTCTCTCTATGGAATGGGTGCCGCCGTGCTGCTTCCCGGGTGCTCAGTGTCCCTCTGTGTGTTGTGGTACCAGGCACCCTCCTTCCCAGACTGTATGGGAAGTGAGGAAACCAAGGGGGACATGGCAGGTCAGCAGAAGATCTTAGCTGGAAGATCTTGACTTTGCTGAAGGTGGAAAGACTCTTGGGGGTTAATAAGGGGCAGCCTGTGAGGATGAGGGGTTGGTGTACTGTTACCTGCTCTGGGAAACACGTTCGAAATATCTTCCTGCATGTTTACCCAAATTTCACTTCATCTCATTCCCAACACATGACACCACCATGAACACACAGCACACGTGAAGCTCCCATCACTGCTTCCAAAGCGATCCTAACACTACCAGCCCTGTGCTATCTGTGTAAATGTCTGTGACTTAATTTCAGCCTTCTCCCTCTTCTTAGAAGTACCATATCCCATTTAAAAAGCAGAGCCTCTGTGTCCCTCTGCTCAGAGATTGAGGTTGGGTCATCCTGGGGTCTGAGGAGGTGCCTGGCTTGCCTTCCAGGACTCCTGCATCTGTTCAGGCTCCCAGGGGGCAGCGTTGTGCCAGTGAGGTAGCCAGCCCTGGCAACCCTCACCTTTAGTGGCTTTTTGTTTGTGTTCGGCTGTGTCTCAGCATGAACCCCTGCCTGGGGAAGGTTTTGCTCATTCTGCTGTCTTCAAAACTGCCCTTTCCTGACCACAGACTGTGGACAGACATCACTCGGCAGTTGTTTTCCTGGGACTCAAGCTGAGATGAGAAATGGTAAAGAGTATTTATGCTATAGCTAGTTCCAGCAACAGAACATACTAATTAAACTTCAAATGAACTAATTCTTGTTCCTTTACAATGTACCTTGGCTTGAAGTTGGGGTTTTAGCCAGAATTTCTGTTGGCCTGTTACAACACATGCAAAAATGCTGAGTATTCTAGGGTGTTTCGCAGCAAATGATGTTTGTTTCCCTGGACCCAATCCTTTGCTAAGCTCATTGGCAGAAAGTTTGTTAGAATACAAACTCCTCTCCCCTCATACCAGATTGTAAGTAGCAATATGTCAGTTGTAAATTTAACAATCTGACACTCCTAGAAAGTATATGATGTTTGAACAAAATAAAGTAGAAGGATATTAAACATCCTTATACATGTATAGCAAATAACACATACACATGCATATATGTGTGTACCTCTGGTCATGTTTATACATGTAGAAACACACTTGCACATGCTTGTATGTATGTATACCGCCATGACCATGAACTCCCCCCATGTACACACACACATGTACGCACACACACACCCCACTGTGCAGATTGCGCTGTGGCAGAAGCCCAGCCTGGCTGGTGTTGCTGGCTGGTATGCAGTCTTGGACAAGTCACCGCCTCTCTCCAGGTCTCTGCAGCAGTCAGAGGTTGGATTAGATCCAACAGAGGGCTTGGTGATGGTAACACTCTAGAGACAGATCTTCTAACTCCCTCCCTTTCCAATCCCTTTGCCCAAACTGCATAGCTGCCCTGCCAAAAGTCTCCACCCTCAAGGGGCCACACTCACTGAATCTTGTAAACACGCTAGTGTACAAAAATAATGTTCTAATCCACGAGCCTCAGACTTAGCTGCGCAGTGGAATCACCTGGGAATTTTTTTTAAAAAATCATTCAGTGCCTAAGTCCAGCTCTCAGAGATTCTAATTTAGTATGGAGGACAGCATGGACAAGAGGACATTAGAACTCCCAGGCACTCACTCTTGCACCCTATCTCTCTCTCTTTCCCTCCCTACACACACACACACACACACACACACACATCTACACAAGGACATTTTGTGTAATCATTACTGGTGACAAGTTTTTCTCTGGGTCCCAGCAAGTGCTGTCCCTAGCCTTGCCCCCCTAATCTGCCACCTCACCCCTGGGCCAGGGCTGTCCCACCAGATGCTCCCACATCCCACCCAGTCCTTGGGTTTAGTGATGGCCATGCAGATTGTTAGAAAGAACAAGAGGGTTCCAGGAGAGGCCAGCCTGAGCACCTCGCAGCAGACCAGGTGTGACATATGCTGGGAAGAGGGAAAAGAGGCCCAGGCTGCAGCAGCCCAATTTGTTTCGGCATTTTTGTTCTGTGTGTGTGCCAGGGAAAGGCCAAGAACCATGCTGGACTGCCCAGCGAGGCTGTGTGAACTCCTGGCCCTCTTCTGGCTCCTAGAAGCTCCAGGGTTGGAGAGGCCATCCATGATGCTTCCAGTGGCCAGGCAGAAGGCGTCTGACCCATCATATTCACCCACCCCAGTCCTGCCCACTCGTGACCACCTCTGAGGAGTATTGTCTCCAAAGAGTCTTCCTGGCAGTTCTTTTTATTACTTCATTTAAATTCCCTTTATTTTGGGCCCAGCCCTGGGCACCATGAAGATATTCAGGGAAGGAGGCAAAGGTGACTTTAAGCCAGAAGACAGTGGGTGTCTTCCTCGAGCTCCTCATGCTGTAGGAGAGGTAGGCTTGATTCAAGTGTAGAAAAAGCCAAAAAACACACCAGCCTTACGGGAGATCAAGCCAGCAACAGATAAGCCTCCATAGACACTTGCTGTAACAGGTCCCCCTGCCCAGTCAGGAAAAGGATTTAGGAGCAGGAGAGATGAAGGGTGTCTCAGGTGCCCTCTTACCCTCAAGGACTGTCTGCTGGTCAAGCAGGCCACTGTTCTGAGAGCCCTGAGATGGGTGTCTAGCTGGAGTAGAAGATCCCTAAGGAGCTCCCAGCCTGAATGGAGAGACGCAGGCCCTGCTTTCTGGAAGAAAGGTACACAAGCATACACACACGCACGCGTGCACACACACACACAACACAAGTATAAACGTCTTGCCCCAAGGGACACACAAGCCAGCTCGAAACTGGTATAGCAGTTGGCCCGAGTGCTGACATAGTCAACCTGGAGGGTTTGAAGCGCTCAGAGCTGGGTAGGGCCACCTTTAGGAGCAGTTTTTTGTACAAGGTTTTGAATACAAGGACAGGGATTGGCTGGGAAGAAGAGAAAGAATGTTTCAGGCGCAGTGGGTGTGACCTATTTGAAAGCTTGGAGGTGGAAGAGGATGAGTCATCGCTACAGTGGCTTGCCTGCCCTCACAGGAGAGAATGCCCTGTGTCTTAACGAAGGAGCTGCCTCCGTTTTCAAAGGTTTTGTGGATGAGAACGCTTGGGCTGCACTATGACACAAATGAGAATCATACCATCATTGTCGAAGGCAACAAAGGGAAGCTGAGCAGAAGGACAATGACCACCAAGTAGTAGATTTTCTGATATGGTTTTTACACACTGGAAGTTCACCTTGACATAAGATGAGATAGGCTGTGTGCACCAAAAAGTCAGTGTTGCTTGTACACTAAGGAAAGTAATAGATACTGAGGCATTTGTGCTTTGAACTTGGGGTTCTGAGGGTGGCCAGATGCCTCCTAAGGATGACACACAAGTGGGGCTGGTGGCCAGCTTCACTGTGAAGCCACCATCTTTTGCCTTATGATGAATGCAACCTTCTGGAGACAATGGTGGGAAGGCAGACACTTGGCTGGGAAGGCAGGGGTGCTTCTTGGGATGACCTGGGTGCTTGGATTGTCTCCCTTTACCTCCCCTGGAACCAAGCACCCTTCTCAAGGAGGTGGCTTTGGCTCTCTGGGGCAACACACAGCTCTTCTTTTCTGGATTTATGCCACCCAACAGGGACCTCTTTGGGTAGAGGAATGCCTATTTGAGTAGAATTCAAGGACCTTGACCCCACTGGGCATGAAGTGGGGGCCTTGAACCTCTAGGGATGGGAAGGGGAGAAGAAAGAGCTGCTTGGATAAAAGGCCAGCCAAAACTAGAGCAGTCCCCCCCAAAAAAGAGATATGATCCCTGCCTTGGAAAATGCCCTAAGTTCATGGTGGTGGGAACTGTATTATTGTGAGACGGGTATGAAGGGATCCTTAATCAGGCAAGGCTTCCTAGAAGTGAATTCTGGAGAGTGGGAGAACCAGGTGGAGAAGCCCCATCTTCTCGCTGTGGAGCTTGACTTTTAGAGGATGGTGCTTACCCCAGACACCCTTGGGTCAGGAGAGTGGGAAATTTTCTCTGGGTGAGAGCAGCTCTCTTATACACAGAACTTTCCTGCCACCTTCACCTTCTGGTATCTGGCACACTGCTAGGTGTGGCTTCAGGTGTGTGATATCTCTGGACTTTTCCTCTCTCTTTATTCCCTTCCTGCAGTTGTGGCTACTTTGCGCTGGAGAAGCGGTTCTAGCTGGTGTGATGGCAGCCTCAGATTCACAGGGAGCCAAGCAGCCCCTTGATCATAGACAGGGCTTGGAGGATGCTTCCAAGAACTGTCTGGAAGGGCCCAACCCTGTGAGAGTTGTGCGGCCCATGTCTGTCCTCACGAGAGTCACTGCGAGGACCTAGCCATTACAGGACATCCCACTCCTTGCCTGCATATGTCCGAGTGTCTGTGTGTCCCACGCCTGCCTCCAGGGCACAGTCCCCTACCACCTCCACACAGAGAAGTGTGGCGAAGGCAGCAGGGCAGGTGCAGGTCGTTGAAGGGAGAGATGTTTTACCTGATGACCTAGACAGAGAGTCACGAGTCAGGTCATGTCCATGGATTCCCTCTTATGAGGGGTTCAGGCCCCACAGGAAGCTTCTAGGGGATGCCTTTCTGAGTGGGAGGCCTCCCTGGGGCTCTATAGCACTCTTTGTCTGTCACTACCAGATATTCCATCTGGAAGCAGCAGGCTGACCCACATGTGCCCTTTAGTGGGAAATACCAATTCACATGGTGAAAGCCAAGCAGACTGTGGCCTGCCAAGCCTCAGAAGGGATGACAGAAGTGGGCTGGCTGGCTGGGAGGCACGCAAGACTGGGATGCCCACTGTAGTGTCCTTAGTGTGTGTGCCTGGCTGTACTGTAGCCCCTTCCCTGATAAGCCCACGTTCTGGGTTTCTGAGCCCACAAGAGTCCTCCAGTCTTTCTGAAAAGCCACTGAGGAGAGAGGGTGAGGAGCACTCACAGCGCACTTAGAGTAAGTCAGAATTCAGTGGCATAATGGAGCCCTCCCCAGCATCGCTCACAGGGGCAGGCCCTTCGGACAGGTTGGGCTGGGGAGGGTGAGGGGCTGTGGCTGGCAGGGATGGGAAGCCCCTAGGCGGCCCTGAGGCGGGCCGCACAGCAGGTGGTGATTTGCCTTAGCTGTCTGCCCTTCTTCCTGGTAAGCCGAGCCCTGTCTTAGAAGAGAGGTCGCGCTGCTCTGAATGCCATTAGGCATGTGTCACTGTCATCACATAGCCACGGAACACTGGAGCTGTGTGGGGCCTTTGGGGTGCACAGGAGCCAACACCTTCTTCTTACAGAAGAAGTTGAGGCCCAAAACAAGCACATGACTTGCCAGATCAGGACCAATGTCAACTCCTCTGGCCCCTCCCCACCCCAGGGCATGTTGTGCCTGCTGCAGCTCAATGCACTCATGTCCACTGGATCCTCCTTGAGAGGGGCTGTGATGGTCATCTGTTGCTGGCTGAAGGAGGTGGCCCCAGGCAGAGACACCGGCCTCATTCCAGGGTTGCTGCTCTGCTATTCCCATTACTGCCCCCTTAGACAATGCAGTCCCTCGGAGAGGGTTTGAGTCTGCGTGAGTGTGACAGAAGGGGTGGTGCTCACAGAGCCAGGGAGCTCAGCACCCAGCTTCCTCTCCCAGGCAGAGCCCTTCCTTCCCCTTCTCTTCTCTTCCCCTCCCTTCCCCTCCCCTTTTCTTCTCCTTTTCTCCCTTTGCTTTTTTCTTGTTTCTTTATTTTTCTCTTTTCCCCTCCCCATTTCTTCTCTCCATTCCCCTCCTACTGCTTTCCTCTCCTTTTCCCTTTTCCTGCTCCTCCTTCTTTATGTACTAGGCTAGAACCCAGCACCTGTATGTGATAGGCAAGTACCCTACTACTGAGCTACATACCCAGCCCTTTTTAATTTGATTTTGAGACAGAATCTCACTAAATTGCCCACGATGCAACTTGAAACCCTCCTGTCTCAGCCTCTGAAATAGCTGACTTTACAGACATGTGCCACCATGCCAGGCTGGACAAAGTTTCTGATAGGACACTCTGGCCAGCACTGCAGAGAAAAGAAGCACACCCCTCCTAAGAGGTTCTCAGCAATACCACTCAGCTTTATTCTCAGAGGCCACATTTAATAAAAATGTGATGCAAACCTTGCACTGGCGTCTAGGCCACAGAGCCATGGCTTGCCCCTCATGGAGCTACCAGTGTGGCTGAAGGAATAGGAACAGGCAGGGAGAGACCTGGAGTACAGACACAGGAGAGTGTGTGTTCGGAGGCCGGGAGTGATTGCCTTGCACTTCCTAGAGGAAAGGGGGTCTTGACCTTCGCTTTAGAAGATGGTTGGGATTTTACAGTTGCAGCCAAGGAGGGAAGGCAGATTCAGCAAATGGAATGATGTGCACCATCATTAGTGTGTCTTGTATATTTAGGGCTGTCCCTTGGAAACAGCGCGCACCATTTGGTGAAAAGTAGAATTGAGGCTAGCCCCATCAGGAACCCAAATTCCAGCTCTGATTTCTGTGATTCAAAGCCACCTTGCTGCTAATAACCCTAATGACATTCTGTCCTCTTCCTGTGGAGCCTGTCATTTGTGGATGTCCAAGCACTGTGAAAGCATTAATTAATCTTCATGGGTCCTTTGAGGTTGATCACTGCTCCCCCTTTCCCAGCTGGAGGACTTCAGAAATGAAGAAAGGGCTGGAAGATCACCTGGTCACGCAGAGGGTTGGGTTTCAGTTTGAATCCAGAGTCCAACTAGAATCCGACTGGAATCGGCCTGCACTGCTCTGTGCTCTGATCTTGGAGCTCTGGACCTGGAATGTCAAGCTACTGCCTGCCCTCCCCAAGTGGGAAGCTGATCTTTGTGGAACATGGAGTCGTGCATCCCTGGCTTGGGATGGCAATGCTCCAGGATCCTCCAGGACAACTCTTGACTTGTAGGTGTCAACCTTCCCAAGGAGCTGGGCAGCCACTAGGCTCCCAAGATGGAGTCAGCAGACTCTCAAAGTTGTTTCTGTAGTAGTCTGTGGTGTCCTTTCCCTTGGCCCTGGCTGTCGAGGATGTAGAGAGGTGGAGATGGCCAGCAGATGACTTCTTCTCCACTCTCCTCCCTCAGAAGCTCAGACCTGTCTTCTCCATCGGCATGATGAACCTGGGTGTGGGGTGATGCCCTGGGATGGGGTATGTATGGGTGAAAATCATGGCCATCCTATCTTAACTCTTTCTTTTTCCCCCAGGTTCCATGTATGATGGCTTAACAGACAATTACAACAACTATGGGACCACCAGCCGGAGCAGCTACTACTCCAAGTTCCAGGCAGGGAATGGCTCATGGGGATATCCGGTAAGGAACTGCTTCCATCCACAGAGTTCTGGAATGTTTGTGGGGCTGGTCTGGGGTGCATGGTGGAGAAAAGCCTGCACTGGTTGCTAAAAAACAGTAATGCAGGCAGAGGTCAGTGCGTTAGGTCATCAGCTCTGACCCAGTCTCTTTGCCTGGCCATATTTTCATAGAGGGCTGTGTGTGCCGCCTCAATTTAAGGCTGATTGGTTATGAATGTCTCAAGTGAAAACATTTTAGAAAAAGCATAAAGAGAGGGCATTTTTAAAAGTCCATTTCCCAGTATGTCTGACTCAATCACAGATTTGAGAAAAGTTTAAATTTTTGATGTCCATTTGTGGACCATTTTTTATGTTTCTAGGAAAATCCTAAAGGGTGTTCCTTCCTCAGTACTGATGGCCATGGAGGGGCTCCAGAAGGTCCTCCACAGCCAGGACAGCATGTCCACGGCAGTGACTCCGCAGAAGGGACTTAGTGCTGGAGTAGAGTGTTGCTTGAGTTTGTAAATCAGATAAACTTAGGCTCGATTTCACTCTGCCACTGGTGGGCTCTGTGACTTTGGGAAAATTATTTTAACCTCTGGGCCTTGGGTTCCTCACAGATATAAAGTGGTTATAATAAACTCTACTGGTTATTATCAGAACAAATGAAATAATGTGCAGAAAAAGACAGATTACAACAGTTCTTAAGATTTTAAATAATTAATATAAGTGGAGATTATTCTAGACCCTCTAATCCCGGTTTTGTCTCTGTCTTCCTTGTGATCTCAACTCACTCTACCCGTCTGTCCATTTACTGAGCAAATATTTCCTGAGCTTAGCTCTGGGCTAAGGTTGTGACAGATGCTTTTAATACAGTAATACAAACTAGTATACTTTTCTTCTACTCTGAAATTGGGAATATTGAGCTACATGGTACAAAAAGTTTCTTGTAGTCCCCAAGGTCTAGGACTTACATTTACTTTTGTTGATTTCAACATTGGCCTGCGTTGTTCTTGGAAATTTTTTTGTGAGGCCTTGAGTATGCAGATAGGGAGAAAGTCTGTTTTCCCCAGGGGACACTGGGGTTCGGTCCTCTTGGGGCTCCAGGATCACTAGTGCTTGCTTTGAGCCACATTGCTCACAATTTTCATCCCGGATTGTTGAAGATCTGGGATTCTGGGCAGGGGAGAAAGTGGATGGTTTATGAGTTTGGAGCTCTTTTGTGATTGGCTTGATTCTGTCCTTCTTTCCTGGGATCTTGTTAGAGCTAATTTTGGAGGCTTTGTCTTTCTTGCATGTTACAGGTTAGGAACTAAAGGGAAGAATGAATTAAGTTTGCTGCAAATTTACTTTCCTTGTCTTGATTTTCCTGATTCCTGTTGTTAGCTGACTCCCTCTTTGCAACATAAATCCAGCTGGTTGAGCTCAATAAGCTAGCAGATCAGGGAGGGATGTGAAAGGGCTTTCACACAAAGGATGATGGCCAGACAGACTCTGAGAAAATGTCTTACAAATGCAGGATAATGGGATTAGGTTAAACCCAAGGAAGGCAAGTTACTGGACCAGCAGTCCCAAGTGAAGAATCATGCTGACAATACAGATCTTATGTCTCTATACATACTCGATATTACCAGATCAAAGCTTAGGAGCTTCAGATTCTACCCGGGTTTGTGACTTTAGATAAAATTTGGACTCATTTTGAAGATCAATTTTCCCATGCATAAAATGGCAGTGATGGTACCTGTGTGTCTGCTTCACTCATGGGTTGATATCACATTACATTAACTGCGAGCGTTATCACACTGACAATGTACCATGGAAATGGGAGGAAGTATTTCTAGAAAACAACCTTCTATGGCCTATATTGAGCAGTGTGAATGGGTTAATTAACTACTAAATCCTCAGCTATTTCACTAGCCATTAATGCTCCCAAGCACTCCTACCCCTCCCTATGCCCATTTTCTAACCAGTGAAAATCCCTCTCCTTCCCCCACCCTAAGGCCCAACACTCCTCACTCCTTTGCTGGCAGGACTGCAGACGTGACTCATGACAGGGTAGCTGCTGAGGCATGTCCTGTCTCCTCTCAGTTCAGGACAGGCTATGGGAACAGGGAAGAGCTGAGCACACACAAGGATTTGGCAGAGAGAGGGGGCTGAAGAGGGAGGAAGTGGAATAATTGATATTGGAGCCAGACATATAATCAGCCAAGCACTGGGCAAAGCCAAATGGGGTCTAGATTTAGGGAGGAAAAAGAGCGGGAGAAATGGTAATAGAGATCTGTGGTGTGAGATAATCCCATGCCTGTGGGATTTTCCCATGGATGGTACAATTGGCTTGGAATGTTTTAGTTCCCACCCTCTGGGGAAACCAATATGGCGGCCAAAGTCAGAGAGCATGGGGAGGAGGGTGTGGTTTGTCTGTACAAGCATGGTCAGCATGTTTTCAGGAGCTTCTGAGAGTTAATGCAGGACCATTTCCTGCAGATACTTTGTATTCACTCGGTCAGCCAACTGGTACTGAGCAGTTGCTGGGGCATGGAAGTGAGAGAAGGGCAGTGCAGACATAGATGGAAAGACTCTGCCTTTGTCCTCAGCAAACTTCCAGTCAAGTTGGGAGAAGTGGAGGTAAACAGACAGGTAGATTGCAAGTTTGTAGTAGTTTCTGTCCTGAAATAGTACACCAATACTCTCCCTGCTCAAAATGTTTCTAGAGCTACCTTCAGTTGTATTTTAGGAGCCATATAAGAACCAGTATTACTTCATTATTGTCAGGACCTGTGTTTGATCAGAAACAATACCACCCACTTTGAGCATCTCAGTCCTCAGATTTGGCTACAATTCTAAATACCAAGCCATTTTCAAGTAATAAAGCATTGTTGTCAGTGAGTATATATCTTATTTAAATATATAAGGACCTTATATATTTAGAATATTATAGGCAATTCCAAAGGCAAGTTCTGCCGGGCATGGTGATGAACACCTATAACCCCAGCACTCCAGAGGCTGAGGCAGGAGGTTTGCCATGAGTTCAAGGTCATCTTGGCTATATAATGAGTTAAAGTCCAGCCTGAACTGCAGAAGGAGACTCTGTTTCAAAAAAAAAACTGAAAAGAAAACGAAAAGCAAGTACTAACAATGTTTTAAAAATATAGTTTTGCCTTATATTTCTTGTCAGTAATAACCTTCTGATTAAGAAAACACACTATTTATATTTCATGATAATTTGCATCACAAATTTAGAAAACTCAATATAGAAAGTCTTGTCATAAAATGAACCTTAAAAAAATAAAATAAATCTTAAAACAAGGTTAAACTGACACATAAAAAGCAGCCACGGGCTTAAGGAATAGAAAAGACTGGTTCAAAGAAAGTCACTGAAGCAAGCTGAATTGAAGAAAACTGCTGTTTTCTGGTCACATGACCCCCTCCTCTCCTTCAAAGACAAGATCCGCTGGAGAACAGCATCCACGTCCCAGAGTCCCGAAGACTTCGGGCAGAGCAGGGAGCCAGCAAGGCGAGGTGAATGGTGGGGCCTCCATCCCCACCGCCTGACCTTTCAGATGGACAGACTCAGCTCCACTGTCCCAGTCCTCAGAGCCATACTTAGGAATGTCAGCGTCTCAGTGCTGGTTACATTTTGCCGGAAACTCAGGCCCAGAGAGGATAAATTACTCATCAGAGGCCACACAGCTGTTTAATGCTGTAGCAACCTAGATCCCTGACCTCCTAACTCCTAACCCAGTAGAGCTGTATTTTCATTACCCCAGATGTTTATACTTTTGAGTGATGGCTATTTTATGGGTTCCCACAATCTCCATATTTTAACACTACAACTGTGTTCCAGGGATTTGCAAGAGACCCATGAACTCAAACCCTTCATTCTTCTCCTCCCCTGCTGTCTAACTAGGCCTACTCTGTGGGGTTCCCACAGGAGAAGGAGGGAAGTGGCCCTAGTTTTTCTTTCCTGGATTCAAGTTGGGTTCACTTATCTAAAAGCATTAATGGGGTTAGGGCTGGGTTACCAGATAAATTACAACAAAGTACAATGTTCAGGACATAGTTTTACTGCAAAATTCTTCATTGTTTATCTGAAATTCAAATACAACTAATATCCTAATTCTGGCACTTGCCTAAGTCTGGAAAATAAAATGCCTGGTCATTTGCATAATAAAAATAAGTGCTTTGGGCTGGGGATTTAGCTCAGCAGCACAGCGCCTGCCTGGCAAGCGTGAGGTCGTGAGTTCGATTCCTGGTACCGGAAAAAATAAATAAATATATAAATAAGTGCTTCATTCCTTGAAGCGCTCCCCTCCTGGGCTGGGGAATTCAAGCAGAATTATTAAAGCCTGCAGCCATTTCTGGTAAAAAAATAAAGGGCTTCTGGCCCCTCTTAGTTGTCCTCTAGTAAGTCACTTGTACACGGTCCTCTGGGTCAGCTAAGACCAAGATGAGGGAATAGGCAGCTGGAACCCTTGTAAGGCCTGGCACTTCTATTCCAGAGATGAAAATAGGTTTTATCACACTGGCATGTCCCAGATAAGGCTGATGCAAGTGAATAACTTTGATTTCCAAAGAATACGTCTGTATTAAGTTTGGCTGGTGGTTTTTTTTTTTTTTTTTTTTTTTTTTTTTCTTTTTGAGACAGGGTCTCACTATGCAGTTCAGGCTGACGCTGAGCTCACTTTGTAGCCCAGGCTGGCCTCGAACTCGCCATGATCCTCCTGCCTCAGCCTCCCAAGTGCTGGGATTACAGGCATGTGCCACCATGCCCAGCTCATCTGTATTAAGTTTAGCAATCCCCTTTTCTATCCACTCCAGCACTAAAGGGTTTTCTATTTTCAAATTAAGAAGCACATCTTGAGCTGTCAATTCTTCTGGGAGTTACAGCAAATAAAATGTTCTTTGATGGTGGACTGAAGCAGACCATCCTTCCCAGGTTCTGATCTGTAGAGGAAAGAAGCTGTGCAGATATCATCAGGCAGGAAGTCCGGAACAGGCCATACCATGGTGACTACCATATTG